GAGGGCCCCAGGGCCCGTGCCATACGCCTGACCTTGCCGCCGCCCCTCCCCCACTGGCCTTCCTCCCGTCAAGGGGGCCCAGGGGCACTTACGTCTGGGCTCCCGGGGTCCATCCACAGTCACCTTGATGGCTCGGTGGTAGGTGGCCACTTGGGTGGGGTTGGTGAACACGGTGATGGTCAGTGTGAAGCTCTTCCCTGGGGGTGGGGGACAAAGGCAGGAGACTGGCACCCCGGAGCTTCCATACATCCCACTCTCCCCCCGCACCCACCCCGGGAGCCCGTGGCTTTCAGGAAGGGGCAGGTCTCTTCCCTTGAATCTGGGCAGAAGATGGGGCTCTGGGTGAAGTTCGAGCTGCTGGGCTTGGCATTCAAGGCCCTTGGGGTCTGGTGCCAACTCTGTCCCACAAACCCTCACACTCTGGGCACCCAGGCTTATTTCTTCCCTGCTTCTGGGCTTTTGTGGTGCCCCTTCAAATCAGAGACCCACAAAAGTTGGGGGTGGGGAGGACGATGGCTATATTTCATTTTCTCAAAGAAATTAATGATTTTTGTAGAAAAACTTGAGAACACGGAAAATAAAAAGAAGAAAGAAAGAAAACAGCCATAGCTCCACCAGCCAAAGATAAGTGCCGCTCCCACTGGGGTGTCTTCCCCCCAGGCCTTTCTGCATGGGTATGCACATTCATTTACACCCTGGGGGTGGTACTAACACACACATTTGTGTACTGTTTTTTCCACTTAACATGACGTTGGAAGCATTTTCCCATGTCATTCAAAGGCCTTCCCCAGTTCCATTTTCAATGGCTGCAACAAATTTTGACACCCCCCCCACCAAGCCTCATTGCCTCATCTTCAATTGCTCCCTCTCCTTTGGGGTGGGTGCCCATGCCGGCTTCTTACTCGGGAGAGAGCAGAGCTGGGCAGGGCTGACTTGGAGCTGCAGACATCTCATCTGTAGACACAACTGTTATTTCCAGAACCCTGTTCTATTTTTAGATAGACATTTGGCTCCAAAGTCTCCATTCAAAATTCCTGAGAGGGGAAAAAACTTTTAAAATAATACTTTTTTTTTTTACCATTTAAAATAAAATGAAAATGCCCTTCTGTTTATAAGAATCTTTGTCTGCATCTCTGCTTATTTCCTTAGAAGAGATTCCAAGAAGTGGTGAGTGATTTCATCACATCAGAGGGCTAGGACGCGCATAAGCGATAATCTCTCCTGGAGTGAGATGACTCTCCGCAATCTAGCTATCTATCACCCGAGTGCTGGGCAACGTTACACCCTGGGCCGTCAGCCCCGGGCTGTATCTATCAAGGTGGAAGATCTTGTCTCCACTCTCAATTCTGCTTGTCCTCCTTCTAGGACTAGTGAGACTGAAACCTGCCTATGATTATGACCCATCATAATCCAACACAAATGACTGCCCATGTTCTCTTACACTTTCCTGTTAAGGTCTTAGTGCCTTTAAAAATGGCCACATATTGGGCTTGTTAACACTCTCCCCATCACACTCGCGGTGATCATTCCCGGGTCACTGGCCGTACATTTCATGTTCCCATGCCGAGCCAGTTCTCACTTTTAGTTCTATCTCTCGTTCTTTTATCGCTCTGTGTTTGGACAGGATTCTCTGTGTAGAAAGCAGATAAAGGCTGCCTTTCAACAAGCAGCATTTCCTCTTTCCACAGTGAATTCTTCCGTGTGTCTGGGGCTTACTGGCTGGCATGGTATGAGGTAAGCGTTCTTCCTCAGAGGATGATCCGGGGTTGCCAGTGCCTTGATGAGTGTCCTCCTCTCATCCTATCCTCCATCATAATCCAGAGTTTCACACTGCATTAGATTGGTGGAGGGAACTTCACTGATCCCCCAAGCCAGAATTCACACCCCCAGGGTCTCTGGACCTCAGGTACAGACCCGGGAACTGCCCCACGGCAGGGGTCAATGGCCTGTGCGCCGGTACCCCCAGGGTGGGCATGGGGCAGGCACCAAGGGAGGCTGTCCGAGTGCACCCCTGTGGCATCCTCCCGACTTCTCTACAAGGCGAGCAGGCAGGTTCTGATATTCCCATATCACCGGGGGGGAGACGTGGCTCAGGTGGGGACCCACATCTTAAGGTACGTGTCAGTGGAGCAAGCAAGTGAAAATCTAGAGCAGAATTAACCCAGCCAGGCTGCCAGAGCCAGGCCCCCAAACCCAGGGGCTTCTGAGGTGCCAGAAGGCGTCTAAAGTTAGGCTTCCTGAGGTGTGGCTCTCACTGGGAAAGGGGGGCTTCTCTGGAAGACTATTCCTGAGCTGGTTGGCTGGGGGCAGGGATAGAAATGCTAACAGCCTGGGCCCTCCGGCTCAGGCTGCAGGGGCCCTCTGCAGAACTTCCGGAAACGCAAAGTGTAGGGGGTCTAGGGAGATGCTGGGCAGGTGCCTCAGGTTTTTGGCCTGCCCCTCCTGGGACCCCTCCATCCTCCAGAAGTCCACCATGACAAATGACAGGAAGGTCATTTCTCTCCTGGACCTCTCTCTGGGGTCACTCTCGGGAGAGTCCCTGGGTCTCTAATCCCTCATCGCTGTCTGGCACCTGCTCGGTTCCAACAGGGAGTTGGACAGCTCAGAGCCCTAGCTGAGGACTGGGGGCCCACGTCCCCTGCATCAGGGACCCTGGCACATACAATGCTGGGCAGTTTACTACAGCTTCCCTTGATTGGACAGTCCCCTTCTGTGAGGCCGTCCTTGGCCACTTGCTCTAACATAGGTGTTTGCAACGTGGCCCCATAGGACTGAGTGGCGCTGTGAACTGGGATAGAAAAACAAAAACCAAAAAACGACAACCGTACTGTCCCTAACCTCCAGCTGAAATGTAGCATCTCCTTCCAGCAAGCGCGTGGGCCACAAACCACAGAGGTATTATGGCAGTACCTGTGACCTTGTCATCAACAGACGTCACAGACATTCACATATCACGTTACAGCTGTTGCAGGTTTCTCTAAATATCTTTTATGCTCGTCACGACTTCAGAATCATGGTCGTCATGAGACCCATTGCCAGATCTTGTTATTTGATACAGTAAACAAAGCAGCACACTTATTACATCTTTAAAAACATTCTGCTACGTTTTAAAATAACCGCTTTCCATCGTAATCCTTCGTATTTTATTTTATACCTTTCAAAAAAATCATTATTCTAAGAAAGACGCGTGGGCTTCACCAGACCACGTGAGGGGTCCACGAGGCTCAGTCTGAAGCGGAGCCATCCCTCTGCTTGCATTCTCCATTCCCTGCACCGGCCCGAGCATTTCCCAAACGCCTTTACTTTCCATAACTCATCTACTTACTTAATTTTGTCTCCCTCTACTAAGTTATAAGCTCCCCAGGGGCTGAATTTTTGTCTTGTCATCACTGTGTCCCCAGTCCCTAGGACAGCATCTGGCACATAGTAGGTGCTCAGTAAACATTTGTTAAATGACTTGAGGGCAGCGATCATTGCTCCCATTTTGCAGATGAGAAAACTGACAGTCACAGAGGGGCCATGAGTTGAGCAGGTCACACAGTATCCAGGCAAAGCTCAGAAAGGACAGAATGTGCTGGAGCCTGTCCTTCCGCACGGTGATCTGCTCCTGGGGAGTGAGAAGCCTCCACTCCTACCAGGTAGCAAACCACATGCCACCCCTGGGGTCACCAGCACTCCTGAGTGGCTTCTTCCTGATGTCCAGGTCTATCACCACGCCTCCCAGGCATTCGAGGAGGGGAGTCCGGACCCAGAGCAGGAGTGGAAAGGAAGAGCCGGTGTCAGGAACCAGGGAACCAGGGGCAGGAGAAGGCTGTCTCCCTGAGCGCCCCTCGGCTCTCTGTGCCTGGTGGCAGCAAACCATCCATCCATCCCTCTCAGCTCGAAGAGACTGAGGGCGTGGGCCAATCTGCCATCCACCAAGAGTCCATCAGCTGCAACTCCAGGCACCCCGAGGGGGGCTGGCCCCACAGGGAGGAGTCCAAGTCTGGGAAAGAGGTGCCTCTTGGGGCTCTGAGTGGCCCCAGACATCCCTGCAGGACCCAGGCCCTGGACCAATCAGCAAGCTCAGCCAGCAGTGTAGTCTTGGGCAAGTCCCCAGGCTCCGGCCTGGGTTCCTATGAGACAAGCCCCACCCACAGGAGTGCACGTGTGGGGGAGGGGCTGCATCTGTCTCAGGGGACTTCTGGGCTTTCTCAACACTGGCCAAGAAGCCATCTGCTTTCCCCCCACCAGTGGTCCCCCAAGCCTGCATGCACACTCCTCATCCAGAATCTCTCTGCACACACTACTGCTTTTTAACCAGTCAGTGACAGAGCAGGAGCCTGTGTGCTTCTCGTTGTTACCCAGGCCAGTGGCCACCTGCTAGATGGCACTCTGGGGATCTGTGGTGACATGTGGTCAACACCTTGTAGGTTGCACTGCCAGCATCAGTATGTGTGTGTGGGTGGGTGGGGGGTGCAAGTGTCCACTGCTACACAGGGCAGGGAAGCTTTCCTTCTTCCTGGGAGGGAGAAGCTGGCGTCTTTGTACTTTTAATCTCTACTGAATTTTCCAGAAGGAAAGACAGTTCTTTTCTTTCTAAGTTTTGTTCAGAACTTTGCCAAGAGTTGTTCACAGCTTCAGAAAGTCATGACGCTGACAGCAAGGCCACACTCAGCCTGAGTCCTGTCCCCACCTGCTCCCTCCGGGTGGGCTTCTGTGTAAAGGATGTCTGTCCACCTCTTCCCACAGTCTTGCCCCAACATTTACATATTCAAATTAGTGCTGTATTTTAAATACTTTCCCTTTCTTTTTCTCCATCATAGCTATGTAATAATATCGATTTTGAAACTGTAAATAGGTGGGTTATGTTATCCACAAATTTCAATGCAGGCTAGTAAGGCTTGTTACAGAATGTTGATTCTAAGAAAGGGGTGTCATGTCTGGCAGGATGGAACCTGGGCCCTAATCGCTGCAGGAGACAGCAGTGACCTGGCTTTCCTTCCCTTTCTTTCCTTGGTTGGCTCCTTCAGCCCTGGCGTAAGAGCTCTGAGTGCTACTGTGTGTGCGTCCTTCATGGAGAGAGTTATCTTCCTGGAATTCAGACAGAACCAAGGACTAAACATTGAAGAAGCCAGCAGAAGTTTCCATCTGACTTTCTGGACCTGGCAGAAGTCAGCCAGCCAGGGAAGGGCTCTGGGTCCCAAACTGCAACCTGTCCTGACTCCTGAAGTGTGGTCCAGATGGCTGGAGTCACCCACCACCTTGTTCTTTTAGATGGGAATTTCCCAGTCGCAGGATGGGCACCCTAGCTGTGAGTCTGCATGCCAGCAGATCCGGCACTCTCCTTCCTCCCGGCCACCACCTCCACTTCTCCCACTCAGCAGTTCACACCTTCTGGGTTTCCCCCACCCCCGCTCAAACCACACTGTAATCAGAGAATCAGTGACTGTCACCGCTCAAAGGGACCTCAAAGGCCTCCTCCAGTCCCAAGCATGTGAGGTGACAGAATCTCTAACGTGTATCCAGCTCTCTCTGTACACGCCGAGGGATACTCCTGTATCAATTTCCCTAATCCTCCCCAAATCTCATGAGGTAGATACCATTACCATCCCTACTTTACAAAAGAGGAAACTGAGGCACAGAGAGGTGCCCAATGTTATCCAGCAACTCACTAGCAGAGCTGAGACTCAGACCCAGGTCGGCCGATTCTAGAGCCCCGGCTCTTAAAGACCGTGAGGGCTGAAGGCCTTGGCCAGAGCTCCTCCTCAGACCACTTCCTGCCTCCCAGGACTGGCGAGAGAATGGGTGTGAGAACGGCTGACGGCTCAGCCTCTGCACCTCCCAGAGCCACATCCCCACCTTCGCCGCGGCTGCTGGATGCTCCTGGCCACAATGGAAACCCACCTCGGGGCTGAGGGCCCGGGGCTGTGGGCACTAAAGCCACAACAAAATCATTGTCAGTGTGCAGAACCACCAAAGGAGGTCTCAGGGACTCAAGAATCGTCTTCTCTCTTTCTAGATTGCACCACCCAGGAGATGGGGTAGGAAGAAAGACCACAGTTCCCAATGCCTCGCTGGGCTCTGAGACCCACAGCACCCTCTGCCTGCCTCACAAGGGGCAGGTGCCATCGTTAGTGGCCCGACGCACACACCTAAGCCACAGACCCGCGACTGCCCGCAGCCTGCCACATTACCCACTCGGGGCTGGGGCTGGGATTGAGTTGCAAAGGGCTTGCGAGATTGGGGATGACAAAAGGGGCTTGGAGACTAATTAGGAGCAGCAATGAAAGCTTAATTCATAAAAGCAAACATTTTCCATCCATCAACCTGCAACCAGTTAAGGGCACCGTTTGAAAGAAATCTGTGCATGGGGAAGGGAGCCAACAGGAACAGGAAATGTTTGAAAGAATGTAAACTATTTCGGTTTCATAAAAAGTAACAAGTAAACAGTTATTACATGCAAATAATGCCCTGGTTTTAATTAATGCTGAAAAGTCAAAATATGTTTGACATTTGTATGTATACACTGAACGGCTGGAGAGGTAAAAATGGTGCCCAGATGCCCATCCCATAGTCGGGCTGGCGGCCCAGAGGGAGCTAGAACCTGAGGAAGGCCCTGCTTATTGGTGATGAAAAGTGCGACCCTGCTCCAGCCGCCTCAGCCTGCAGGAGTGGGGCACAGAGGGAACCAGCTACTTTCTTAACAAAGCAGGAGGCAGGCGGGGCTTGGGAAGGGCTGCCCCTTCAGCCACTGTTCCCGGCTGGGCTTAAAGGGCCAGCAGACCCTCGGGCCTCTGTTGCACCAGGCGGGGTTTCTAGGACCTCTCCACCCAGGAGGTAAGAGATAGTGGGCTTCAGGTCCCAGAAGCCACCCAACAAACAGCCCCTGGCTCTGCCTTCTTTCCACTGCTGGAGATCGACCAGACAGGCAGGGCACCCCAGCCCTGGCTCCAGGGTGGGAGATGGTGGCCTCCTGGCTGTGCTATCCGACATCCAGCGTTCTGTGCATTTGTTTCTATTCTAAACCCCCTACGGGTTCAGAGGACTTGGGAAACTGCGGTCAGGCAACACAGCTGGGAAGAGGTGGCCTTGGAGTGTGGGGGAGATTCTGCCCCCATGGGGAGAGTGGGTCGGGGTGCTTGGGTCCTCCAAGTCCTTTGGAGAAAGACCCACACGTTCCCTTTTTGAGCTTGTGAATCTAGCATCCTGTGAGACCGGGGTGCTTCATCGGGAAGGAGGGGAGGTACACAAGGTTTCAGGAGTCAGTAAATCCCCCCAAACTGGGAACAAATTGTGTATTTTTCTGGCAAGAGACTCACATCCTCAATGGGGTCGGTAACACCCTAAGGGATTACAAACTGCTGTTTTGGACAGCACCGGGCCTAGAGATCTGTTTCTGGGGTTTCCACCGGGACCCTGTGGCCTCTCTCTCAGCCTCCTTCTTCCACCCCTGCCCTGGCCTCCCTCCGGCTCACCTCGCCCGCTGCGGCCCACGAAGCGGAGGTCGTTGAACCTGGCCACCTGGTTCTTCATGACGGCCGAAGCATTGCGCAGTTCCGCAGAATAGTTCTCGTCGTTGCCGGCCATCACAGTCACCACTGTTCCATCTGGCACATCCCCCAGCGCCACTACCTGAGGACACGAAGGAGGGGGCAGGCGACGGCTTAGACAGGTCGAGGGAGGCCGGGAAAGGAGGGGAGGGGCACGGCCAGGCAGCGCCCCCGGGTCCCAGGCGCACTGCGGATTTCTCAGACGGAGAGGCTTGAAAACAATAGAGACTGTCCCTCAGATGTAACAAAACAAGGCGACATCTCTGCCTTCTGTCCCAAAGTCCTGGATCAATTCCAATCCATCAAGCCATGTCCCAAGAAATCATCCTTTCCTTAAAATGACTCCAAGCAAGACTGCAAGTTAAGTCAGTCCCCAGGGACGCAGGCTGCCGCCCCCCCACCCAAGCAAAAGAGGAACCCACACGCCCCTAGCAACCAGGTCTCCAAGTAAAAAACAATACCAACAATAATAACGACAGGACGGCTACCCCTGCTCAATTCACGCAAGAGCCGTTAGGGGTATGAAATTGGGCCCTGAAATGTGGCCCAGGCCCAGTTTACCGGCCTCTGCAGAGCCTGAATTCGTTATGCAAAGAAAATGCAGAATGCAAAACAAACTGGTGTTTTGAGAGAGGTCATCCAAAGAAACCCTTCAAAGTGAGAGAGGGGTTTTGACAACGGGAGGATGCCCCTGCTGGGAAGTGCAGACCGGGATGGGTATGTCCCCCTAAACACCAGCTCCCCACCTCCCCACCCCGGGGAGCACTAAGAGGCAGGGATGCCTTTTGAAAAAGAATTAGACTCCAAACAGAGTCACAGCCATTTAAACGTGGCCGCCGCGTGCAGGGACTAAGACTCCAGATGGTAAAAATTTCAAGGAGAAAATGTTTGGGGTCTGATTAAAAAGGCCAGATTTCCTGTCAACATCCTGTCTTCTTTTAATTTCAAAGACTCCTTTTAAGCCCCAAGTGACAGTAAAACCTCCGATCTGACGATTAAAGTCACACGGGCCTCCCCTCCCTCCCCGGGAGATTTTCCCCACTGGTATTTTAAGATGTCACCCGGGCGAGGGAGACCTCAAACAGCCACTCGTCCTTTTTTTTCCAATTTGGAGTCGTCTTAACGGAGGCAAGACGGCCTCAGCTGCCAGCAGCGCCGCTCCCAGCCGCCGCCGCCCCCAGCCGCCGGCCCTTCCTGCCCGGCCCTTTCTCACGGCAGCTGTGAGAGGTTTAGGGGAAAACCAAAGCGTTTTCGTTTCATCTCGCTGCCCCCTTAAAAAAATGAAAATGAAACAGTCGCCTACTCTCTGGCACAGGGAAGAAGACCCGAGCGACCGGGGTCTGCCAGGGGGGCGGGCACCCCAACCTCAACCTGCCCCTCGGGGCGCAGGACATCCCGGCGCGGCCTTTGGGGCGCGTGGCCCCTCCCGGCCTAGTGTGCCGTTGTTTCAGGAGCCCCGAGGAGGTGCGAGCAGGAAGTGTGTGTGTCTGAGGCCGCGCCGGAGGAGGTGCTGGCAGGGGAAGGTAGGCCCTGCTCGCCCTCCGCACCCCACTCCGGTGTCCTCGCCCCTGCCCGGAGCCTCTTCTCCGCGGCCCGCAGGGCTGCGTCCCGTGTCCAAGGAATCCGGCTAGGGATCAGCGAAGTCCCACCGCCCATTTCCGCATCAGCGTCTCTACGCAGGGCTCCCCGAAGCCCAGGCGGAGGAGGGCAGCCCCCTAAAAGTCACCGGCGCAGGGTGCATCCGAGACCGAAGGCAGCGCTCCCCGGGCCGAGCGCGCAGTGAGGCCGAAGGCGCCGGGCCGGCCGCCCGGGGTCGCGAGGCTCCCGGCGCGCCCCGTCCCCTCCCCGGGTCCCGCGCTCACCTTGAAGGCGACGGGCAGCGTCTT